GAGAAAGGGAGACGAGACACAAGAGAGAGAGAAAGACAAGACGAACAGGCACAACGGTTGTAGAGAGTGCCGAGGCACACATACCATATGTATCGAAAGAAAGAGAGAGAGAGAGAGGCAGGCAAACAGACACGCAGACAGAGAGTGGCCCCATTCGCAAACGACACACGTCCATAGAGAAAGAAGGAGAGAGAGAGAGAGAGAGAGGAGAGAGAGAGAGAGAGACAGAGAGAGAGAGAGACAGAGAGAGAGAGAGAGAGAGAGAGAGAGAGAGACCGAAACAGAGAGCGAGAGGGATAGTGACCGAGCCACTCCGCCCTTGTCTCACAGCCTGATCTCAAACCGGCAGCTGCGAGTCAAACGTTCTTTCCCATCGCCGCCACCTGCCCCAGGTAATCCGCGGCGAAGACGGCGAGCTTCGCACCTACCCCATCGTCGAGACCGTCCAGGTGGACAACGTCTGCCACACCACGCTCGCCCCGGCCCGAGTCTCGCCGGAATCGGCGGCGCAGGCCGCGGCGGCGGCCCGGAAGGCGGTGGAGTCGCTGTGGGGGGCGGGGGCCTTCGGGGTGGAGCTGTTCCTGATGAGGGACGGAGGCGTTCTGCTAAACGAAATCGCGCCCAGGTATACGGCGAGCGCGGTCTTTTTGTTATGACACCCACACACTCGCTTTGTTGTTTTTTTGGTGCCGGCGCGCGCAGCGCGCGTTTGTGCCTTGGCGCCGTGGACGATAACGAAAGCTTTGTGGTGACCCTTCTTGGGGTAGTTGGCTTCTGGCCCCGGAAGGTGTACGCGTCAGTTTGACCGTTCGAAGGTACTGAGCGGAGACCGGAACGGTTTTTAATGCAAGACTAATACAACAACGACAACAACAACAACAACGGTGTGAAATAACTTCATGAAAACAATAAATGCGCGTACATACGTACCTGGTATGACACAGGCCGCATAACTCGGGGCACTACACCTACGAGGCGTGCGAGTGCGACCAGTTCGAGAACCACGTTCGCGCGGTGATGGGGCTCCCCCTCGGGGGCACGGCGCTGCGGGTGGGCGCGAGCCTGATGCTCAACGTCCTCGGGGACCCCGGGGGATCGATGGAGGAGACCACCAAGGTGCTCAAGCAGGCGCTGCCGGTGCCCGGTAAGTAGCGAGGGGGGGTCGCAGGAGGGAAGAGGGGGCGGGGGGGGCGGCGTACTCATGTTTGCATGCCTTTGTTGTTGACCATTGGCCAAGGGGAGAGAGGAAATATGCTAACGCCGTTAACACGCAAGAGCGCTAGGGTTTTTGGAGGATGAGGCAGGCAGAAGAGCAGCAATCTTGGTTGGATATTGTTTTTGGACGAGGTGCTTGAGACGAGAAGTTACGTCGAAGCCGGGGTTCTTTTTTTTTCGGAAAATCCGTGTCGAAGACTTCACAGTAGTGTTATACAGCAGTGCCAATTTTGCCAGCCAGCAAACTGTCCGGCAAAGGAGGCCTCTTGTGTTTCGGGACAAGGGTTACAAAGCGTTTTCCGACCGTCTCGCGAAAAGACGTACAATACGGCGTTGAAAAGTGACTGGCTGCAGGAATCCGTAGGAGGAACGGCGGTGCTAAGTGTTCTGACTGAGAACTCGACCTGGTACGAGGGTCAGGATAAACGACATGAGGTACGCCGCCCCTTTTCCCTCGATCCCAGAGACAAAGGTAAGCAACACATGCTTAAAATTAATACAAGTATATTAAATGAATCCCAATTATTGCTCCGCTCTCTCGAGGTCGCGTGGTCAGTGGTCAAACCCCCGAAAGGCCATGCAAAACATGAGTTATGACGACCCCCCGGTTCTCCTCTGTATCCCCCCGTCCCCCCCTGTGGCTGCGTGTCGTGCGTCGCGAGCAGGTGCTGCGGTGCACTGGTACGGCAAGGCGGAGGCAAGGGCAGGGCGCAAGATGGCCCACGTCACCTTCTGCGCCGAGACGATGGAGGAGCTCCGGCGGAAGGTGTTTTTTGGAGTTGGGGGCGGGCGGCCCCTCACGGCAGCAGTGGTTTCCTTCGATATTTTGGCTGTATCCTTTTTCGCCTGCAGCTTGTGTTTCGTCCCGCCTTTGTGAATGCTGATCTGTCGCGGTGTTCCCCTCCGATCCTGCCGACGCAAGTGAAAATGGGGCTTCGATCTGGGGGTCACGCAGACAACAAGTCCTCTTTGTGGTGCGTTTCCCAAGTCTTTAAACACTGTGAAGGATCCAACAGCAGTATCTTACCTTCCCTTCCCTCAAGTGCGCTCACGAAGAAGATATAGGAGAAGAAGAAGCGCACTTCTGCTGCCCATGTACAGGCACCAAACGCGCGACGATCTTGTGGTGGGCGATTTTGCAAACCCTGTCCGTTTTTTTTTTGTACGTGACCTGAATGTTGGGGGACGGTACTGCTGTGTCGTTCGCTGCTGCTGCGCTCACCTTCTCTAACAAAAGGTGGCTCCGTTTGGACTGCTTCCGGGACCCGCGGCAGCGGGGGCGGCGGCGGAGGAGACAGGAGCAGCAGCAGGCGAGGAGGCAGGTGGGGGTCGGCGGCCCCTTGTTAGCGTTATCATGGGCAGCGACTCCGACCTGCCGACGATGAAGGCGGCGGCAGACATCCTCGAGACGTTCGGGGTGCCGTACGAGCTGACGATCGTCTCCGCTCACCGGACACCGGCAAGAATGACGGCGTTTGCCACGGTGAGATATGACAAGGAGCGCGCCGGGGGGGGGGGTGTACTCATAGTCGTGCATGCCGTAGTCGTTAGATCATTGACCTCGCATCCCTACAAAGCCGGGACGGAGCACGCCGGGTTCTCACCGGACCAGGCTCTCACATCACCAAGCGCAAAGCGCCGTGAGGTATTTGGCGAGTTGCATGAAGGGTGAGCTGCATCCTGCTAAGGGTGTTCGGCATCTTGTGCTTACTTCCTTGCGTACGGATGACAGCTGCGTATGACTTAATTTATTTTCTGGTGCTTTCACTTCCAGAGACAGTTGTAAGCACTGTGTAACTGCCTCGAGGATGCTTGACCATTTTGACACAACGTGGTGCGATCATCTCCCTTGCGCGGAGTGAGGGTTCTCCACCCCGCACAACGTGATCTACTCGACCACCATTATGGTTACCTCCAAAAAAAAAACG